CGGCCGTATTCGGGCGGCTCATAATCCGGTTGTCATCGTTGATAGCCTGGCTGGAAAGCCGCACAGCCTGAATACAACGAGGTTATTCGTGCAAAGCTTAGGATTTCCTTGCTTTATTACACCAATGGCCAAGGGCATCATCGACGAGAGCTTGATAAACTTTCGCGGTTTGTATGCAGGGAAACTCTCGGAACCTACCGTTTTTGAACAGGTCCAATCCTCCGATCTAATCCTAGTTATTGGGCCACGTCCAACAGATTTCAACACAGCGGGGTTCCAGACTGATTTGCCTCACATCGAGACCATCAAATTCGAACGCCATAGAATCCAAATGCAATTCCAAGGGGTCCTGGAGCTCGCTATGAGTCGTGTGCTCGAAAGGCTCAGCAATGTTCTTGATAAAGGACCGTCAAGATCTGTCTCCACGGCCTCCACGAACTCCACACCCCCCCGCAATCTTAGCGGTACGCCCGATATTCACGGCATCGTCTCACCCTCGTCAAGCCCACCAAAAGAAAGTTTGAACGGCGAAGAGTTTATGGATTTTGAGGGTAACATTGTTGACAAGTCTCAACCATTAACCCAAGACTGGATCTGGCAGCGAATGTCTTCTTGGCTCGAAGAAGGCGACATCATATCCGCAGACCTCGGAACCTCTGCCTTTGGCACATTATGGTCTCGATACCCGCGCGGAGCAGTTCCACTAGTGCAGTTCCTTTGGTCTTCGATTGGATATGCCGTCGGCGCAGCAGTGGGAGCGGCCCTCGCCGCACGCGAAGACGAGAAACAGTCCCAAGGCACTGGACACCGACGGACCATCCTCTTCACGGGCGACGGTAGCCTCCAAATGACCGCACAAGAAGTGAGCACCATGGTCCGCCGCAATCTAGGCATTATCGTGTTCGTTGTCTGCAACGAGGGGTACACGATAGAGCGCTTGATCAATGGCATGGATGAGGAGTATAACGATATTCAACCTTGGGACTATAAGCTTTTGCCGGCCGTTTTCCAGGCCGCTCCGAATACTGTTCGCACTTATGCTGTTCGGACTAGGGCTGAACTAAATATGCTGCTCGACGACCCTTCGTTTGGCCCCGCTGGTCATTATGATGAGACGAATCCTCCTCCCTTACGTCTCGTTGAGTTGTACACGGACAAGTACGATGCGCCGGAATCTCTACATGGATTGGTTGACGCGATTTCGAAGTCAAGGTGATTGTTTGGTTTCGGTTATTTACTTTTGTGCTTGAGTATCTATGTTTTTGAATTTGGTAAATTCCGTTTCGGTAGGTATATAGATTCCTGAAAATGAAGACAGTAAATTCTCTGTAATTATTCATACCAAAGATACTCGATATCGACGTCATAAAACAATAGGGGGAAATGTGCCAAGACTTCGCAAAGCTTGACTAAAAGCTTGGTGCCTCCCAAGGCCCATTTCAAGGTTCGATTTCACGTGGACTTCCAAAGAGGTTTCCCACATGGCTTTTATTATATGTATACGTTTCATTAAAAACGCATAATGAGCAAGTAACTGAGTTGAGGCCTTCTATCCAACTCTGCTAACCATAGCGTCTCTTGTTTATGGAAGCCAACGCATAAGTCGGACCTCTTGTGCCGACCTCAGCCCCACAGGCCTATAATATGGCTGCCTGTGTGATGGCTGCTGATGGACTTGTCCAGGGTAATCCAGGGTACGGACTGAAAAAGAGTTTTAATACTACTAGTATATACCATACCATAGGTACTTTTCGTTTCAATAATAGAAATACACAGCTGGCCCCGGCTTATTTATCTTCCCCTTTCTCTTTCACCTTTCTCTTTCACCTTTCCCCTCTTCCTGCATATCTTCCTCATCCTTCTCCCCCTTTCCCCAAAAATACAAATTATCTGCCAGGATGTTCGGCTGGTTCAAGTCTTCCAACGACTCCAAACCCTCCCAAGAGCATAGCTGGGATGCGGCCACTATGACCATGGAACAGCCCTCCAACGCCGAGGCCATGTCTTCCAACAATGTCGTCTCCCAGCAGCCTGTATGCTCTCCGGTTATTATTCGCTGAGATCACAACTAATTGATCCTCTAGAGCCCCGAGCCCATGAAGATGGAACTCCGCGGTGGCGGTGAAGGTGGTGATATCTGCTGTGGAATGTGAGTCTTCCAACATAGCTTCGGTGCCTTACTCAACCAAGCGGAAATGGAGATTGGCTGACACCTTTACAACAGCTGCGCTGGTATCGCTTGCTTCGAGTGCTGTGAGTGCTGCTGCTAGATATGCCGCTTTACTATGAAATGCTACACACCGATGTGATGAACGCGTTGGGATGGAAATTGGCGCCTGTGAATAACACGAGCTGTAAGGGATACACCACTTTGTGCAATAAGATATAACTGTTGAATGTGTATTCGGTTTATAATCTGTATCGTATCATGATCCCTAGTTGGCTGCCAATCGGATCACACGGCCTAATATCGTATTGAGGTGCTAGTCAGGACTAGTTGTGCATCATGGATCTGTTAGAGGAGGACTATTACCTAAAAGAATCATCCAGGACACCTCGGGAGTTGTGGGTTGAATTATATAGATGGGACTAAGAATCGGAGAGAAAGTAGCTGTACTTTCAAGACATTGTCTTACACCCCCCTTTTTATCCTCTAGCTGGAAGGGCGAGAATGACAGAAGCAAAACTAACTCTAAGTTTCAGAACTGATCCTCCATTTTAAATATGCTCTCATTTTCTCCCTCTGGAATCGAGTTGTGCCGCTATTCGCGACAATTGCGAGCAGGCCAGAGAAACCTTAGAAGTGACTATGGCATTAGCCATCAGCAGCTGTCAGCTAAGGAAAATCTATCTATATAGATAGTCTGTATATTATGCATACAGCGCGTGAGTCCCCTAGTTAATGCCCGCTGATATGTGAGGATTCCATGGGAGCTTCTTACGATCTGAAAGGCGCCATCACTAGAAATAGATATATTGAAGAATGCCTCTAGGTGTTGGAATATGGCGACCTTTTGATTGATGATGGATTGCTACATGAGCTCACAGGTTACCTGGGTAGTATACCACTATGCACATGGTGCAAATGCATGGTCAAATAGCAAAGGTCAAACTGCAAACTGTAGATAAAAGCATTAATTGACACAAGGGATGTCATAATTCCAATGATTGGCTATAGCATGAAAATGTATTTATTTTCTGGAATATTCAACTGTTTGGGATAATTAGATGGGCTGTTACTTGCCAAAACAACACCCTCATAGCTTTCCAAAGGGCGCTAACCGCAAAAGGAAATGGAGCTCCCCTCGATCTGCGCGTAAATATCAACTCGTACAACTTTGCCTAGGTATGGAACAATCATGCCTCACTTGCGCCGCCAACCTAATCCGCGCGCCATAGTACCTAATCAAGACCCTGATGTTCCGGGAGACCTCCGAACTCAGTTCCAGACCCCGCCAACGCGTCACACTCCCTCCAACCCAACCCATCGACACCAACCTCCCTCCACCGGTCCAAATGCGCTTACACCCGACCCAGTCGCTGTGGCGGGACATCCAGCGGCACCGATAAACCCACTTACGATATTTGGAAGACCAAGGGTAGAGCAGCCACAACCGCAAATGATGGATGACGACGGTTTTGACGATGAGTTCGACCTGCGCGGGCACAGCATGCAAGAGCTTGGGAACGACGGGCCACTTGACTTCGATGATTCCTTCGCCGGTGGTCAGGGTATTGAAGGACAATTTGATGACTCCGATATTGATGACGAGGAACTGGAGGAAGAAGCCGAGGACCAATTCGACGACGAAGAGGACCCCGACCACGAGATGCACGATCGAGGTACATTAGTGATCCCTACTCCCATACTTTCCTCTTGGCTGCGCTTCAAGATTGTGAGCTAATGTTCTTGCGCTATAGAAAAATCACCATCCCCCTTACCGCCTAACTTGCGCGACATCTCATCGCTCGCTTCCTGGACCGTCTCCACCTCCAAGCCAGGCTGCGGCGTCGCGGCCCTCCGTAACCCTTCCCCGTCACAATACTGGCAATCTGACGGACCGCAACCGCACACCTTAACCCTCCACTTTTTCAAACTGGTAGCCGTCGTGCGTATCCGCGTATATCTCGATTTCGAGCTCGACGAAAGCTACACGCCCACGAAGATGGTTTTCGCAGCCGGGATGGGCGGCAACGACCTCATCGAGTTCGCGACTTGGGAAGGCGATGGACCATGTGGCTGGGTCGATGTGCCATTGGAAGGCGTCGGCGGTAGAAACGGCGGGTGGGTGCGCAACGACACTGGGAAGTCGAAACGCCGATCTACTAGTATGCGTCGGCGGACAATTGTGTACCGGAACTGCGATAACCCTGACCATGAGCATGATGATGAGTGCGATCCGTTTTACGAGATTGATGAGCCTGATAGCCAGGACGATGAGGATGATCCCTATTCTGGGAATGTGCTCAAGGCCATGGTCATCCAGATGCGTATTATGGAGAACCATCAGAACGGCAAGGATACTCATGTTCGTGGATTCCAAGTGTTTGCTTGTGATGATAGTCGCCGTCTGACCGCTGCCCCTTCGGCTTCTGCTGATGCTCGGCACCGCCGTCCGTCCCTACGTGGGGCTTATGATCTTCGTGGACGTGCCGCAAGTGAAGATGCTGACACTGGATTTACTACCACCGGTCTAGACGAGCCGGAATGGATGGGTGAGCCGGTGATCCGATAAGCAGGGGCTTTCTACAAGGATGAAGTAAAGTACCGGCGTTAATTGGCTTGCAAAATGCCAACGGGGTTTCGTTATCGGAGTTTCAAGGTCTTCATGATACCCAGTTCCAACTTCTTTTTGCATGGGTTTGAGTCTGCTAGTGAATATCATTAAACCTGTTTGCGCCAGTGAAAAACATGTTGCATCTTAAAACGGGTATTCGTATTTTTAGTTTTCTATGCTAGTCATATCTCATATAGAAACATCCAAGGGGCTGCTTTGTATCTACTTAAGCAGTTTCTCCAGCTCGACAGCGACGGCATCGCCGACCTCGGTAGTCTTGGCTGTGCCGCCAATGTCGCCGGTGCGGACACCAGCCTCGATGACATTGCTCACAGCCTGCTCAATCACGCGAGCCACATCGATCATGTTGAAGGAGTACTGCATCATCATGGCCACAGACAGGATAGTAGCGATGGGGTTAACGATACCCTTGCCAGCAATATCGGGGGCAGAGCCTGTGAGTACCAATTAGACACGGCCAGAACCAACATTGGTAGAAAGCAACAAAGAGGACAGAACACATACCGTGAATAGGCTCGTAGATACCGTTGACACGGCTCTTGCCATCAGGAATACCACTCAAACTGGCACTGGGAAGCAGACCCAGCGAACCGGGGATAACACTAGCTTCGTCGCTAATGATATCACCGAACAAGTTGCTAGTAACAACAATACCGTTCAGCTTACGGGGGTCCTTGATCATGAGCATAGCAGCAGAGTCAATGAGGTGGTGACCAATGGAGACCTGGGGGTACTCCTTCTCCATAACCTCGGTGACGACCTTACGCCACAGACGGCTGGTGGCGAGGACATTGGCCTTATCCAAACTCCAGACGGGCAGGGGCGGGTTGTGCTGCAGAGCGAGGTTGGCGGCGAGACGGATGATGCGCTCGATCTCGTGGCGCGAGTAGGGCTCAGTGTCCATGGCGTATCCGGAACCATCGTCCTCTGTGCGCTCGCCGAAGTAGATACCGCCCGTCAGCTCACGGATGATGTTGAAGTCGACTCCGCGGCAGATATCGGCCTTGAGCGGCGAGCTCTCGACCAGCGAGGGTGCCGCGAAGTTGCAGGGCCGCAGGTTGCCAAATGTGCCCATCTCCTTGCGCAGCTTGAGGATACCCTGTTCCGGGCGCACGGCGCCAGTGCCCCATTTCTGGCAATGTGTCAGTAGGCTTGTTCTTGTTTTTTGTGCGGGGAGGAGGGAGTAGAGTAGGAGATGTAGACGTACGGGACCTCCAATGGCACCGAGGAGAACGGCATCAGCGTTCTTGGCTGCGTTCAAGGCCTCGTCTGTCAAGGGCGAACCGGTAGCATCGATAGAGGCCTATAATTGTTAGCCATTGAGCTTTTATCGCGTGGGTGGAGTATACTCACACCACCGAGCAGGTGATCCTGCAGGTTAAAAGTAACGCCACGGGACTTCTCAATGACGCGGAGGATCTGGAATTCAATCAGTATATCTATACCGTGCAATTGGAGCCTGCGATGTTACCTTAACAGCCTCAGCGGTCACCTATCCTCTAGTTGTCAGTCCTGGGTTCAATTTCGCTACAAGAGCTCTCAACGACATACCTCGGGACCACAGTGGTCACCACCAAAGACGACGATATTGAAGGAAGACATTATGCAATATATGAAGAGAAATGATTGACTCAATTGTCCAGGTCGGGAGCTACAGAATATAAAGGCGGGTGAATTTCAAGGTCCAACCCAACCCCACCATTCCGACATCGGCGCCGATGACATAAACAATCATCGGCGTCGCTTATTCACGGTTACATTGATGAAGATATACCCTTTAGTTCCCTTTTCAGCTATGTTTTGCCGCTGATCGAATCTAGAAACTTGTTGCTCAAGGTGTATTACTGCGCTCACACTTATGGCGTGGTCATTTTCTGGCCATCTACAGCAATCGACCCCTTCATGTGGAAATGTTCAACAATTCCAGTGACTAGTGGGTCAAGTATACCAAGATGCCATGGATCGAGATTAATTATTTACAGATATCGCAAAGATCAAATATTCCAGTGCTCGTCCACGGCTTGAAGCTGTGAAGCTGTGTCTCTAATCTGTGCCGCCATCGACGGGCGCTCCTTCCCTCCACGTTTCAAATGAGGACTTTTGTTGTCCTCTTCATGGAATAAATAGCCTTGGAATCCTCGTATGGATACGACTGCCGATTGCCTAACTGCATTTACGGCAGATATATCTCGCTCAGCACGACAGCATCCGGAGACTCTAAATCTGCTGCGTCTGTCTTGAATCGAATTTTTAAATATTATGGGCTTGTTTGCCAATGCAATCGGTTCACCAAGATATTTGAAGATCGAGGGTTGACGGTCACAAGGGCCGAAGTTGAAGCCTTAAAGAGGGAGAATGAGCACCTACGCGTGGACTTCTCCGTCTTATCACTATCCTGAGCGCGCCTTATGGGGTACTGTGCATTGCGAGATGGTTTTGTGGAGTGTATTCATGATAGTACCCCCCGGTTCTGCTCTCGTAGGGCCCGGCCTTTCTATTAATGCATGGCTGTGGTCCTTTGACCGCTTAATCTTGTGGTCAATTCAGTCAAAGCGTAAGATGCATGTATATAGTTGAGGATGGTCCCTGCATACCCGGCCCGGCTGCTGTTATACCAAGTTCGCCGACCCAGTGGGTCCCTGAGACCCACCCCTGCACCTTCGATCTACGTAGATACTCCGTAGATGCTGCGTATGTGCTCGTCTTTTCACATGTTTATGTCTGAGTTGGCGTTGTGAATTGCTCTGTTTGTACTCCGTACTGGGTGTGCAGGAAAGAAATCTGTTCTCCGGGTGAGGTGACATTTCGGGTCTTTTATTTACATGAAGTTATGTACACATTTATCTTTGATAGTACATAACTCTGATAAATAATACCGTGCGTGATCGTATGTCTCTCTTTTGGATACCAGTCTACTGATTTTGCATCATCTCAGCCATCGCATTTTCCTTGTCTTGCAGAACCTTGATCACTGCTGGCCTTTGTTTCATACGTTCCATCCATGCCTGTACATTAGGGAAGGAGCGTGCAAATTCCCCTTCAGCATTTTTGTCTTGAAGAATCATGCCGATCATATTCTGCCACGGTACGAAAGCCAGGTCCGCAAAAGTACATTTGTTTCCCACTAGCCACTGTCGACCGGAAAGAGCTTTGTCCAAAACGCCGGTAACCCTGCGGACCTCATTGGAATAACGCTCAATGGCCACATGTTGATTCTGGGTTTGGCGAGCGAACCAGCCCAGTTGGCCATAGTATGGACCTTGACCAGATACCTGGAAGTGAAGCCATTGCTGGGAAAGGAACCGCTCGGGAAAACTATCGTAGCTGATCTGGTGACTCAGGTCATATGTTTCGATGAGGTAGTGGACGATTGCTCCGGACTCCCAAAGTTGAATATCATTGTTGGGATCGACGATGGCAGGAAGGCGGCCGTTTGGGTTGAGATCGATATATGGTGGAAGCTTGACGTCCTTGAAGTCGACAAAGATAGTCTCGTAAGGAATATCAAGGGATGAGAGAACAATTGCAACCTTCCATGGATTGGGTCCGATTGGATGGGAGTAGAGGATAATCGGTTTCATTGTATCGGTTGAGGAGGCTCAATAATGAAGAAACATCGGAACTTTGTCGAACAAACTCGACCATCCCTGGGAAAAGGCCCATTTATAAGTGAGAGCAATCAAAAGCCGATAAACATAATCCCGTCATACGCATCCAGTTGGATTACCAAGCCTTGTTCACTAACATGCCCAGGTGGATCTTCAGAGCAGTCGCCGAAATAGTGGGTCTATTGCCAGCCCACACACTTCCCATCGATGATGTCTTCGGCGAGTCACGGAAGTTCGAACGGAAACGTGATGGGATGGAGAAAGAATACTATTCTTACTAAAACGCTGCTAGTTGGTACATATCAATAAACTTCCCTTGCGTGATGAGAACGCCAGCACCACTACAGTCCATGCTGTACTGTTGTTATCGTTTGTGGGGAAATATATGTATACTACCACTAGATCATACAAATCCAAGGAAAAGTCATGGTTCTTGTTCAGGGCTTAGAGGGACCATATTGTAGTCTGACACCTTTACCGGACGCCCGTCAACATGGGATTGCCTCGGGCTTAATAGACCGCGATGTCCACCTGGTTTTCCACATGTTCTCTCTGTATGGCATTTCGACATTGCCCAAGAGAAACTAGTACTTCACTCGCTTACTGATTACGATAGGTGATTCATACATGGACTTGTATGTGGAGAAATGAGCAGATTGTCTATCGTGTGACATGTAGGTAATCCGACAGAGTATCTTCATCGATATTTAAATGACATGCTAGATCATAATTCCGAGTCTAGAGCTTGAGAGTACCTAGATTTCACCTCGCGATAAGTGATGCGTCGGTCGTTCAGATCGTTTCTGATAACGCCGTGGAGGGGATCAGTCTGAAGATTTCAAACGGCGGGCTAACCAAATGGCGCCGTCAGCGAGATATACGCCTGGCAGCTGGATATGCGCTCAGTATCCAAGACACGGTCGGCTCGGACATTACTCTCGCCGCCCTTGTTCATCTCGGCCAAACAGTTCCAGAGAGAAATTTGCGATGCATTCTTGAAACCCGTGATATAGTTACGTGCAAAACAGCGGATGGAGCATTCGATGTTATCGATGGCCATGTCACTGCACCAAGATTGCCTGGTCTGAAAATTTCGCCTCCGCCTTGATGTATTGGGACAGCTTGTAGCAAGCTATTACTGAAGAATTTTGAACCTAGATTTTACGAGTTTATGAGTTACTGCCAAATACTAATTACTCGATATACTTTCATAGAAAAGCTCCTTGTAATCTTCTCGTATAGGTAGAAGGCAGCGTGTTGCCAACTCCACGAAGTTGATTCTCTTTTGCTAATTTCAACCTTCTAGAAAGCCCCGGGTCTCCATGGCGGTTGTGGTCTCCGGCGTAAACTACGGAATGGGTCGAAATAAGTCTCACCAATTACTCGCAGAGGTTCTTTCTTGACTGCCGTGGTGGCCCTCTGTTACTTGGACCAAAGTTATATATCATTTCGGCCAAGATCCTGCTTGCCGATATAGGTTACGTATAATTAGACTAGTTGATTGATCGCTGATCGCTTGCACGCCTGCCAATCGGGGTTAATATGATTGGGTTAACATTCCGTTCCGTTTGCCCTTGTAGAAGAATGCCTGAGATTAATAAAAGAAGCCTGGAACAGACCACAGATGATAAGGAAGGACAGCAAATAGGCATCTCTGACATAAAATCGGACCTCAGGACACCAAACTCCTTCGGCGAGTATCATACCGAGCTCGCTCAATGCCCCGTTTGCGAGAAGAGGTTCTCGAGCGTATGCGGATTCGCCACCCGCTCTGTACGTCCGGCCGGCGCCTGCCGACGAGTGATATTTTGTGTGGTCTCGCTCTGCCGAAGTTTCGCGGGAGCCTGTTGGTACCCGCGCGGGGACTTGGCAATTCCAGATTTTGGGTGGGTGGTAGATTCTATTTACGTACGTCGAATTGACTTACCTTCTCACATTCTGCCCATTGCCTGACAATTCCGAATCATTTTTATTCGAAAGAGTTTTCGGACCTATCTTTACCTTGATTTCACAAATCTGCATACCACTACTAGCGAGACTAGACTAGAACCATCCAGCTCGGCGGCAAAACTTCAAACCAAAAAGGGAAAAATGATGGGCAAATTCTGGATCATTGCTAGCTGCATGGCGGCGACCTTCTCAACCGCTACATCTACCAGCCTTCTTCAAGAACACAACATTCCACTCAGCCTCGCTCTCGAGATCGCTCAGGGTGCAGTCCAGGCCTGCGCCAAGGAACAATACAGCGTTTCAGCTGCGGTGGTTGACCGTGAGGGTGTTCTACGCGCCCTGCTTCGAGTGGACAATGCAGCTATTCACACACCCGAGGCGGCGCGTCGGAAGGCCTATACAGCTGCCTCGTCGCGTTCGGCAACCAGCGCCATGGTGAAGAGCATTCAAAGTCCTGGCGCTGCCCAGCTTGCGGCGATTGACGATTTCCTCATTCTCGCTGGTGGTGTGCCAATCACAGCCGGAAATGAGACGATCGGCGCTGTCGGTGTTGGCGGTGCTCCCAGCGGGGATTTTGATGAGGCATGTGCGAGGGCTGCACTCCAGCAAGTGGCAGACAAGCTGGGATAAGTGGCCTGTTTGGCAATAACTTTATTGGAGAAATGGTGATATTCGGACCATCAGCTCTTTTAGCCTGCACCTTCTAGCGCTGGGGTTTGTTGCTTTGATATTGGGGAATGCTGTAACATTGTGTTGGGAGATAAAGGTCACTCAGAGTAGTGGGAAGTACAACAATCACCTAACTGTTGAGCATGGGAATTATGTTTGGCAGGTATATCAGCTTAGAATTGGGTTGCAAAATCTGAGTCCACCTTCGACAGAATGTACTACTATAAAAGCAAATCAGCAAGATCTACTTATTTCTATATTGGCATCACATGGACTTTCATAAAGTGTAGTGAAGATGAACATGAATCTTTCTAAACTAGTCTAGACTTTTGTAGCAACGTCTGAATCAAACACCTTCTTTCCCCGATACCAAGTCTGACACACTTTGGCCTCGACCAGCTTCTCTGGCGTCTACTGCCTTATCAACCACTAAGAAATCCGCCTTTAGTCCTGGTTTCAGCCTTCCAGTCCACGAGTCAGTAAATCGTGCATAGGCGGCAACAGTAGTCGCAGCAGTAGCCGCTTCGGCCAAGCTGATTCCAAAATGTAGATTGACCGTGTTAGTGGTCTCCAGCTCATGCTGAGCGTCTGGTAGTCGCATTATAGATATTGGGGAAGGGGAAGTGGCGGGCAGTAGGTGCGTCTGTCCCGATGGCAAGAGGAGCACCTCCATCTAAGAATTCCTTATACGCGAAGGCTCGCTTGCAGCGGCGTGAATCAAGGAGGTCAGGCCAAGCCTTGAATATTGCTGGGTCCGAATGCCTTTGTTTCTCTTTGTCTCAGGAAGCTATATAGACGCAGCTTCATGTATGTAGTTAGAGATCATCATCAGCATCTATCTTCACTCAGGTCTCTGTTGACCATCTCTTCTCTCGTAGATCTGTAGGACTCAGCGTCCATCAGAATGTGCGTATGGGTATCGATGAAGCCCGGAATAACAACGCGGTTCTCTCCAGGTCCACCACGGTGGCATTGGGTGGGATGTTGGAATCATCGATGGAACCCGTACGAAATTTGGTCGTTCTCGATGATAATGCCATCCACAAAGTCGGTGCCATCTTTGGATGGCGCAAAAGTGCGGCCGTTTCGGAACACGAAGTCGTTTGAAGGCCTAGATAGGGATGTGTCCGTTTTTTTGTCGAGAATCAAATATTAATTTGGCCCAGGCTATTTAATGAATGACGGTGGGTAGACGAGAACGAATTCGAAGTCCGGGGATCTCTAGAAATTTCCTTTTTGGGAAAATTTGAGACGGGTGCAGTCGGTGGCTAAGACATGGAGAAACTTGGGCAAGACGGAGAGCTACCGCCGAAAGATGCTGATGCCACGATAGCTGGGAAATTCAGTCGTCTAACATCCGGTAAGTGATATGGAAGGCCGTCATGGCTGTTTGTTTTCGGCAGCAATTGGTCAACGGTAGATAGATAGGCGATGTTGCAGTGACGGGGCGGCACGTTCCCTTGGACGGAGTTGGGGGCGGAGTCACCCAGATAAACGAGCTCGGAACCTCTTGGTAGGACAACTACCGCGATATTAAGTCATAGCTATTGGAGCAGGACAACCCAATGTTACGATAACGTACCTTGTAACAGAGGAATAAGAGTTTGCCACCTGCCCAACAATGTTGTTGCCTCGGTCATCTAATTTCGCGTGGCAGCTCAAAAGGCCAACAAGGGAAGGTTGGGCCGAATGGCAGAAGGTTAATTTGCTATTGGCTGAAAGCGAGAATGTTCGTTCTATGAGTGAGAGACCACTGAGGCAACTCGTCAAGGATCAACGCTTGGCTTTGATATGTTTAGGTACACTCCACTCCCATTACCCCGACCTCCCTCCAGCTATCGCTAATCCCCCGCATTAGCAATCATATGAAAGACTATAAGCTCGACTAAGACCCCTCACTTGATTGGCTATTGCTTAAAACTTCCCTTTCAAGAATAGACACGTCCCACCGTTCGACCCGTGAATGGCTGAAATATATCAACCTCCCCGGCGGACGGGGGTGCAAGGCAGCGTCAACTACTCCTCCTGAACAGACTTGAAGATACGGGTAATACGATAAAGGTGGTCGTCTTGCTGGCCCAGTGAAGCGCTTCACAGTCCCTCCATTTCTATCATCGAATCTTTTCCAGTGCAAGCAAATACCCTTCCCGAATCCATTACGATGTCTTCCCATTTTGAAAACTTTGATCCAGTATGGCCACCCGGCACTGTCAGGCTGCAAGGTGAGGGCTAGCAATGCCAATCCCGCCGTGAGTGTCTCAAACATGTACTGATAACATTGCGTACTAGATCTTCGGGCGAACGAGACAACGGAGGTGATTCTGGAACCCAGGCCCAGTAGAGATCCGAACGACCCCCTGGTCAGTGATTCAGACTCAATGTCTTTCTTGAAAATGAACACTAAAACTGTTGTTGCGAGGGGGTAGAACTGGCCGCAATGGAGGAAACATTTAAATTTCGGCCTCGTTTCATACTATGTTCTAATGGTTATGGCCTTGTGAGTATTCTTCCAGCGTCACCGGCAACTGCAGGCAAGTTTCCTAAAGGTTTTAGGATCAACGTGGCGACGGTTACCTGGGGTCCGCTGAACATGGAGTTAGGCTTCAGCTTTGCTCTGCTGAACAATAGCTATGCCGCTGGCTGTGGCGCCTTGGCTATCGGCGGTATCATTCTCATTCCTTTTGCCCTGAAATTTGGCCGCCGCCCCATCTACGTTATCAGCACTGCTATACAATTTGGAATCAGTATCTGGTCGGCGAAGATGCAAAATGTCGCGGATCTGATGCTGGTCAACATACTCGGTTGTATAGTAGGTGCATTGTCCGAAGTCTTAGTTCAGATGACTGTGGCGGACATTTACTTTGTTCACGAGCGAGGGTTGATGAACACCATCTACTACTGGTTCATGACAGTAGGTACCTCACTGGCCCCTTTGGCTGGTGGTTTTATCACCCTGTCTCAGGGGTGGAGATGGGTCTGGTGGTGGATGGCGATTCTATTTGGCGCAGGACTGATTGTCTTTATCTTCTTCTATGAAGAGACGATGTTTTGTGTCCCACAAATTGATGGAGTCCCAGTCGCAGACAAGTCCGCCAATCCCCCAGCTCTCACGAAGCGAGACCCCGATGCACCCGAATCCGCGCATAAAGAGGACGTCGCAAAGCGTGATATGCTACATTACGAGGCTGTCCAGGTTGATTACTCTATTCCAAAGACGAGCTACTGGCAAAGATTATCTTTATGGACCAACTCGCCAATGGGATTCGATCAGCTTTTAAAGCACAGCTACCGGCCGTTCCTGATCATGTTCAGCATTCCCGCTGTTTTCTACATGGCTCTGGAGTACGGAATCATAACCGCCTGTGCAACAGTTCCAGTTACCACACTTTCCTCCGTTATGACATTGCCTCCCTACAACTTCGGCTCTTCCCAAATTGGTCTAATGGGACTCCCGCCATTCATAGGCACATGCTTAGCCACTCTATTCTGCGGTCCCCTAAGTGACTCAATTGCTTTGAGGCTTACAAAGAGAAACGGAGGAATTTATGAGCCCGAGATGCGTTTGTGGTTGTGCTTGGTTTTATCGCCACTAATTCCTGCGGGATTGTTTATGTTCGGCATTGGCCTTAATAACGGTACGCACTGGCTTTTGCCTGCATTTGGCTTAGGAGTAAGCGCATTTGGAGCAGTTCCGGCCGCTAGTGCAGCTTTGACATACCTCACCGATGCTTATACGAACGTATGTTGTTCTCTGATTGGTAGTGCACAATTGACCAGGGGATGCTTATCGCTAATCTCGTTCAGATCATTTCTGACTCTATCGTTGGGGTTACCTTTATTCGAAATGTTATTAGCACGATGTTTGTGTTTGCGCTTCAGCCGTGGGTTGACAAGGTAGGCCTACAGTGGTTTTATGTCACGTTCGGATTAATCACGATGGCTATAATGATGGGAAATCTTGTCTTTATTTATTTTGGGAAGGCCTTTCGAGTGCGGACCGCCAGTGGTCGAGATACACGCGACTAAAATAACAGACTCGGAATTTAGCAAATATTTTTGTATCTCTTGTATGTGGGCTCCATACAAAATATACATCCGCGCGATATTGCTATATATTTAGAGCCGAACAACTCGTTATAGAAAACTTGTGTGAAAAAGTTTTATATGTAAACGGCGGACCTGTGAATTGCCTTTTCCGGTTAGTTTTGCCTTGTTAAGTTTAGCACCCTAATACGCCGTCACGTAACCTCCCTTCAATTCCAAGGTTCCCCCGGTATAAAAGAAACGATCTCGCCCTTTCCGCCTCTTTGCTCCTTCCTTTTTCCCTTCACGCCCTCTATACTTCGAACCCTCCCTTCAATACGATTACCATTGATATTAAGATCTCTTGTTTGTGCGTAGGGTTTGGCTATTAGGCCCAAGACCAACAGCCATACATTAACCATACCGCCAGGAGGAGGGGCGAATGTTATTTGATCTGCCCTCGATCGCCTAACGGCACTGAAATGATCATTATTCTCAGTGTAAATTTGTACAAGAACGGTCATGGAATTATCCACCCTTTGAGGGGTTTGTTGCTGAGCGCTTTCGTACACGCCGTGCAAGCCTTCTCGGAGTCCCCGAGGCCCTCGCAAGCCTGGATTTAAAGTACTCGTAGGAGCTTGCATGTTTCAGGGTCGAGATTTGGCTGCAAAGCAGCGTCCGAAGCGTCCAGGTAGTCGAGGGGCGCAGCGGTATAGGGGTCAGGGTTCGAAACACCGTTCAATACACAAGAGGCAGTCAAGGGCCTCTTTCATGTATTGTTTCACCTTGTCCCAGATGCTGCTCTCCTGTCAGGGCGTCTGCATTTGGGATTAAAATGCTCTGCCAGGCTAAGCACGGAATAAAGTCTTTCCGCGTACATCAACTCGTCTAAACACGGTTTTTCTCGGAGAAAGACCGCATAGGCCGGTCTACTTACGGGAGGACTCATGTAGAAGCAATGCGGCTGCCAGTCGCGCTTGAGTAAAGATCGACCATGATTCTCCGCACTGACCGAATATGTCTTTGGCGATCTTGGTATCGAATCGACCCCATTTTGCTCACGAGACCAGTGCGCAAAGCAAAAGAGTCTACATATATCGTTATCAGGAAACACACGGATGGGGTAGGTCGGGGGAAGGGCAGAGCATAACTAAAGCCTACATGCTGTACAGAATGCATGATTGGTAAGCTTGTGTAGAATTCTTGCTTCGTCGATATTCGTCTTCTGTGCCCATGATGACCTTTGGTCAAAGATTCAGAACACAGCTGAAGGTGGATACTCTGGAAGAGCTGAGGGTGATTGTCGATTTAAATAGACTGGCATACCGGGTTTCATTAATCCTCCATAAGATTGTCATTTATGTAATCTAATAGATGCTCCATATAAATTGCTAGTTGATACAGAATTTCTCGCACTGCTGATTGGACCGCTATATTTCAATACCAGATCCCAGTGACAACAGGATCGCCCACGAGGTGATAGCGTCGCAATTATGGCCACAGAGCATCACGAAAGTGTTTATCTTGACGCGTTTGCACGATCGAACCTTTAACCGTTTTGGATACCCTGAGACCTCGGTGTGCCAATCTGTAGGCTCTAAAGTCCATCGGGTCTCAAGCGAACTGAATCGGGTAATATTGAGGTCATCACCAATGTTAACTTTGTCATGTACACGTCGGGTGTTCCTCATCCGGCGCCAAAAGCAGCTAATATGACCGGGTTATGACGGACTGTAAGGTTAAAGTATGAGTCAAGGAAAGTTTCTAGACTGTTCCGAGCTTTGAATTATATCTCCACCATCTTGAAACACAGCCACCAGATACAAGCCACGAAGCCAAACAAAATGACAGGCACTAAAAAGCCCCCGAGAATGCCCCAAGGCTTCCGAGCATGGTATGACCGATTAGTCCACATGGTCCATCATTCCGAGTCCGAAATCCCCGCCCCTGTTGTTGCGCATATCGAGCAGCCTTTCTCCCCTGGTCTCCCACATCTGAACCCCTCCGATATGACCTTACCTCAAACAGAGAAGGCTTTCAATATAAAGCAGGCCGATGGCTATCAGAGTTGGCAGTTTCCTTCAATACATGTCCCTCTTCCGGCTGAATTTGGTAACTGCTAATTGCTATCACTCCTCTGGGCGTTATGGGAGTGTTCTAATTATGATTAGATCTCTGGCTGCATAAATATGACGAGTTGACCGAGCTTTCTGTCTTTACTGAAGCAAAGTCCCGATGTCGAGTAGACGCTTTGATAGTGGCAGTATACCGCAGCCTATCAGATCAAGGACTGCTCCAAAACCCTGCCGGCACTCAAGTGACTTTGGCTCTAGAGAGTCCTTTGGCGTGGGGGCCTGTCCTCCACCAAAATGTCCCAGATACGTGCATTGGGACGGCAGATTACAGTCTCCTTTTTGGAGAGAAGGACCATATGGCCTGTCATCTGGTTATTATCGAAGCCAAGAGACGCGGCTGTTTCCCAGATCAGGGCCAAATCCTCGCCTATATGGCGATGGTACAAGCCAACAGAAGATCAAGGGGGCAGACAAATTGGACGGTTTGGGGGGCCCTGACAGACGGCTGGGTCTTCCAGTTTTACCAGCTAAATATGGAGGGAGAGTGGTCAGTCCTGCCATTACAGGCCAAGAGAGAAGGCTGGCAAGCTATTGCCAGCATGTTTGGGTCCATCGTCCTGCGTGCACAACAGGCATGCAACTCCCCCCTTCGACTTAGTCTGTCCGCAAACCAAGCGCCTGCCTCCAAACGGCAATCAGCCGCTTCTGTGGCGCCTAGAATCAGTTCCCTTCAGTTGGCACCAATGGAGGACTTAATGAGCGAGCTCGCGGATGCTCTAGACGTTGACACTTAAATCCTTGTGCAGAGTTGGACATTTTTTATTTTTAGCTAGCTCCAGTTTGATCCCGATATTATCCTTAATTGAACTCAATCTTCGCTGCTCGCTTACTAGTTATTGCCCTCTAACACATTACGCAGTCCCACAGCGCTCAGAAACCCCCGTTTCGGGGGGCGTCTTGACGCCTGAATGCCTGGATTAGCATTGCTTTACACACCGCTCTATGTAATTCATAAGCGAGTGGTGGATTGGGTTAGGTTTCAAGGAGCGGCTGGACATCCAAAGTTACGGGTGGAAAAGCAGCCGTCTCTAGCCCCAAAACCGGTCATTTTAGGCCTCAATTCCACAGGTCCTCGTATTCTATATGTAATGATAGCCTGCTTTCCAATTATCTATAAGATTTGCCTCTAAAATTTACCAATGTAATATCGAAAATACGAAATAAAAGTGGTCAAAGGTAGGCGGTTTTGCCGTAAAAACGGGCTTGTCCTCAAACTTACTGATAGAGGGTGTATAAGGCCTTGATGGTGTAGAGGGAAAACGACCGAGAACCCGTAGGAAAAGGGGGGAAAGACCTCCACAAATGTCGGTGATGACGGAGAGGGTGTGGATCCTCTCCGAAGAGGGCTCACGGGGAGCTGAAGGAGGCTCGGCTCATGGGGAGCGTAAGGAGGCCGCTCTGCTCTTGGCCATCACTAAGGCGATGTTACCAGGCTGCACCACGAGGAGGTGGCAGAGTCGGACTTTGCAGCCCTAGAGGACTTTGGACAAATGATAGGAGTGAGTGCTTAGCGCCTTAGAAGTCACCTGATGGTGGAGCTGAGATCACTTGGTGGGGGAAGTTCAGCACCATTGTTGACCAGGAACCCAGACACTGTGCACGGCGTGTCAACTATGACCTCTGTATCTTTCGGAAACACAAATTCAGGATTTCAGGTGGGGATCAATCAAGGGTCGATATATGTTTCACACGGTAAGTTACCAACGGCCTGCAAAACAGGTTCGGGCAGATCTAACCACGGCTTCCCCTTCCTAGAGCGATCAGAACCCCGCTTCGAGCCACTGTCAACCGTCCCGTTCCAGTGCGACCCAGACTTTGTTCGACGCGATGCACTCCTCGACCAAATTCACCAAAAAGCCTCGATCCCGGGGTCCAGAATAGTGCTAGTCGGTCTTGGTGGCGTTGGGTTCGGACAACACGGTCTTAAGGACGCCTATTCAACGCTGACGATGCAGTAGGAAAACACAGCTTGCCATCGAATACTGCCACTGGGTGCGACAAAGGTCTCCGGAGACGTGGGCTTTCTGGATCCATGCGAGTAACGCGGCCCGCTGCGAGAAAAGTCTCTGGGACCTTGCCGATCGAGTCGAAATTCCCGGGCGACAGGACCGCAACGCGAATATATTCCAACTCGTCGGGAATTGGCTACATGACAAGAGGATTGGAAAATGGATTCTCGTCCTAGATAATGTGGATGATGATAAGCTCCTTCGCAAACCTTCAGCAACCGGCACGGAGAGCCAAGCAAGCGGCCCGATTAATGCATCGACGCCGCCGCCGCTACGGTACCTCCTCGAAAGCTCAAATGGCTCCATTATCATCACAAGTCGGAGTAAAGGAGTAGCGTTGAATATCGCTGGTCCTAAGAATCTCATCGAAGTGCAACCAATGGAAAAGGCTGAAGCGCTGTACCTGCTGCAGAAAAAAGCAGATATACCTGCAGAAAGTGAAGATATCGTGCCTCTAGTGGAGGCGCTTGAATTTATGCCACTCGCAATCGTACAGGCTGCCGCCTATATCACGCACCGTTCACCTCGATGTTCAGTATCTCAATACCTTGAGAAAATCCAGAAGAGTGATCGCGAAGCAGTACAGCTGCTCAATTATGAGGCAGGCCTTCTTCACCGAGACTGGGAAGCCAAGAACTCTATTCTGCTCACTTGGCAAATCTCCTTTGACCATATTCATGATATAAGACCGTCTGCGATAGGCCTTCTTTCTCTCATGAGCTTTTTCGATCGTCAAGGAATCCCTGAGACCATTCTCCGAGTTCAGCAAAGCCAGGAAACACACAGAAATATATTTCTTAGAAAAAATGACGATACTTCTAGTGAAGAGGACGAAGGCAATTTGTCCGGCTCTGACACTAATCAGTGTTTTGAAGACGATATTAGCACACTTACCGACTATTCATTAATTTCAATCGGTAAGCAAAGCACAACATTCATAATTCATCGACTGGTGCAATTGGCCGTGCGCATATGGTTGAAAATTCATGGCCAGCTGGAGCAGTGGAAGAAAATATTTATCACTAATCTATATTGCATGTTTCCAACCGGGCAATACGTAAACTGGGAAAGGTGTCGATTGCTCTTTCCACATGTTCGATCGGCTCTTTCTAATCGTCCCGATTCGCACGAGTCTCTGGAACAATGGGCAACGCTCCTTTATAGGGGTGCTTGGTATGCACGGGAAAGTGGGCATATAGCGGACGCGACAGAAATGGCACGGAAGTCAAGAAAGCAGAGATTGGATTTTTTTGGCGCAGAAAATGAAAAAACCCTCCAGAGTACTACGATGTTAGCGGCAGCATATCGGAACCAGGGTCGATGGAAGGAGGCGGAGCAGCTCGAGGTGCGGGTGATGGAGACTTGCAAGACAAAGCTCGGCGAAGACCATCCCGACACTCTAACGAGTATAGCCAACCTTGCGTCGACGTATTGGAACCAGGGCCGGTGGAAGGACGCCGAGCAGCTCGAGGTGCGGGTGATGGAGACTCGTAAGATAAAGCTCGGCGAGGACCATCCCGACACTCTAACGAGTATGGCCAACCTTGCGTCGACGTATTGGAACCAGGCTCGATGGGAGGAGGCCGAGCAGCTCGAGGTGCGGGTGATGGAGACTCGTAAAATAAAGCTCGGCGAAGACCATCCCGACACTCTATCGAGTATGGCCAGCCTTGCGTCGACGTATTGGAACCAGGGCCGGTGGGAGGAGGCCGAGCAGCTCGAGGTGCGGGTGATGGAGACTCGTAAGATAAAGCTCGGCGAAGACCATCCCAACACTCTAACGAGTATGGCCAACCTTGCGTCGACGTATTGGAACCAGGGCCGGTGGGAGGAAGCCGAACAGCTCCAGGTGCGGGTGATGGAGACTCGCAAGACAAAGCTCGGCGAAGACCATCCCGACACTCTATCGAGTATGGCCAACCTTGCGACGACGTATTGGAACCAGGGCCGGCGGGAGGAAGCCGAGCAGCTCGAGGTGCGGGTCATGGAGACTCGTAAGACAAAGCTCGGCGAAGACCATCCCGACACTCTATCGAGTATGGCCAACCTTGCGACGACGTATTGGAACCAGGGCCGGTGGAAGGAGGCCGAGCACCTCCAGGGGCAGGTGATAGAGACGAGCAAGATAAAGCTCGGCGACGACCATCCCTATACTCTAACGAGTATGGCCAACCTTGCGTCGACGTATTGGAAACAGGGCCGGTGGAAGGAGGCCGAGCAGCTCGAGGTGCGGGTGATAGAGACTCGTAAGACAAAGCTCGGCGAGGACCATCCCGACACTCTAACGAGTATGGCCAATCTTGCGTCGACGTATTGGAACCAGGGTCGATGGGAGGAGGCTGAGCAGCTCCAGGTGCGGGTGATGGAGACTCGTAAGACAAAGCTCGGCCAAGACCATCCTAAGACTCTATCGATTATGAACAACCTTGCGTCGACGTATTGGAACCAGGGCCGGTGGAAGGAGGCCGAGCAGCTCCAGGTGCGGGTGATGGAGACGAGCAAGACAAAGCTCGGCGAAGACCATCCCAACACTCTAACGAGTATGGTCAACCTTGCTTTCACCTGGAAATCCACTGGTCGGAAGGCCAACGCTATCGATTTGTTGAGGATCTGCGTAGCTAGGCACCAACTAGTCTTAGGTCCTGCTCATCCTGATACTATGTCCTATTCCAACACCTTGCTACAATGGGAAACAGGGGAGCTGAGTATCGATTCATAATTCACGAGAAACCCCTCCGTTATTTATGTCATAGCCAATAGCCGTTGAAATGAATACTTTGTGCAAAACATGGAAGTCTATTTCGAATATTAGGTATCATAAAAATGTGTGTATATTATCCACTCCACGTTTGTTCTGTCTGATACCCAGTAAGCCTCCAGCATAGACAAGTGAGAGTGGCAAGGTGATATTTTGCTATAACATCAATATTCTGGTGCTATTGAATTGAAGAGTATAGGTGGTGCCACCGATTTCCGGAAGCACTATAAGTGGACGCAGAAAGGGCAAAGGCGGACCTAGAGGTGTCATTGAGGGCCACTAACTGATACGCTATTCTGTCCGGGGAAAGCTGCTGGCTACGACAATTGAAGGCGGAGGCATTTACTCGATAAGGGCTCGAAAGAAGTGGTGGTCCTGAGTAGTTTTTGAATATAGGGCCGCTCGTTGGATGTAGTGGTGCTGTCAGATAGAGAATAGTTATCGATCATCTAAAACCTCAACACTCAGGCCTGCATGCCGAAAATGGCCTCGAGCACTAGCTTCTCTGGTCCCAACCTGATTAATACACCATTCAAGAAATGAGCCGAATCCCTGGGCCGGATCTTCTGCGTAGTAGGTCCAATTACGTCTTATGAAGCCTTTTAGCTCCGCAAAAAACTCTTCAATTGGATTCAGGTCCGGTGAGTACGGAGGCAAATAAACCGACATTACTCCCGCATCGGCACACACCTGCGAAAGCCGCTCGGAGTGGTGGAACGACGCATTATCCATGACCAGGACGGACCTCGGCTCTGGCAATCTTTCACAATGTCGAAGCAGTTGATCTATGAAGTCCTCGAACACAGAGCATCCGTTGAGCCACGAAAGACGCGAAAAAGAACTATGCCATCTTGAGCGTATGCAGGCAGAATTTGATACCGCTCATCACGGTGGAACTGTGACACTTCTTTTGGTACTACGCCTAGTGGTGACCAGCCTGTCCGTCGGAACCCAACCCGCTTATCACATCCGGATTCATCAACGTAAATAAGGTGGTACGACTCAAATTCAGAGAGGTTGTGAAGATATAACTCTCGCAATTCGGCGTTCTGCTCGTTGGCCTTCTGTTGTGTGGCCTTTCTGGACCAGCCTTTGGACACGAGGGCCCTCGTAATGCTGATGCTGTTGCAAGCATCTGGAATTCATCCCATAGTGTGATATCAGGGCAAGATTGGATAGCATCGTACACACGATCTCGGTCTTCTTCAGTAAGCTTCCGAGGAGCGCCAGAGCGAGGCATTGATACACCGTGAGAGCGCTTTGCTTCTTGCCGTAGGGTATAGTGAATGGTCGAGAGAGGGAGGTTAGGGTACGCATATGTTTAAATACGTTTAGCACCCCATTTTGCTGACTGTTTTAGCTCCCATGTACGCTTGCGAACGCATGATGGGAGCTCAGGACCCCGTGCCATAGTAGTAGAGAGTATAGATATAAAATTAAATAGGTGTAAGAGTAGAATAAAAGCGGGTGATAACCTCCCTAACTTGCGTATACTACGCGCAGCGCGCGCGGGGCGTATACTAAGAATAGGCAGGCGGTATAGAAAGAGCGGTCAAGAGCGTAGGTATTGGGGTACAAATATTAAACGTCACTGTAGAACTAAAAAAGCGTCTATTCTTAAGAAAGAGGTATTTACAACCTAGCCTGATACGATTAGTGTGACTCGGGTACGGGCCGAGAAACAAAGCGTGAGTGTCCACGGGGGGATCTGTTTTCGAAATCGACTGTAAGTGCTTAGAACGAGGAGTCTGAAAATTATGGTAAGATGAAAGGACAGAGCATCTTTCATGTTGGTAACATGCAAGGCAATGTTGGGCGCTACTGTACTCAACCAGCCCTTGGGGGATATCCAAATTAAATCCCCCAGAATATTGAATTTTTACCTTGGAGGTCAATACATATAAGTGGTGCAATAATGGATCCAAGAGTCATTGCCTTTCCTCCCGGTGGCCGGTTAGGGTGTTCACTGGTCACGCGTAGAATGTAATCTATATCATGGGACATTGTTAGACAAAACTGGGGGTGCCCCGTGTCGTAGACACAGTTAAACGGATGTATAAGTTATATATCTTCGATTCAGCTCAAAGATGTCGAACTGAGACAATATTGGAAAGCCTCGACTTGGTGGGCTTTAATACTAAGAAACTAAAAGATCCAAAATAGTTTCACGTGGAAGGGAGATCATCCTGCTAAGCGAGTAAGCATGAAAGAGAGGGGACCAAGAGATCTTGGATGATTGGATATCGAGAAAAATTACACATCGCGTTCTAAGAGCTGATTGTGAGTGGTTTGTTAGACCTGCAACTAGGCTGTAATATACAATACATATCGACATCTCTATATTTCGTCCGTCTACGATGGCCCTCTTGGAAATTCCTGACCTTAGTTCTCTGCATCAGACTGCTTGACAGCCTCCTTTCGCTGGGTGATATATGGCTTCCGTCGGTCTTCCATGTCTAGCGCAGCCGACGAGACAATGGCAGCCAGTGTTAGACCCTGTGCATACACACGAGCCTGCACAATCTTTTGTTTGCCCGTCAGGTACGGGTTCGACCGACTAGAATGAAGGGACCGACCATGCTAGCAGCAAAAGTGGTGCCAACTAGCTTGTATTTCTATTCCCTTACCCAACTAAACAGCTGCTGCGATGTACTCTGTTGGTTGGATTCCATTGCTTGGACTTGGGTCTGCGACTTGGGTATCTCGAGACTGGGAGAACGGTGATCTATGAAGGCAGTCGCTAGTGGTATTCCCTGTTGAGGAGTAAGGTCGAAACACTTACTCTTTATTGATCAGTGTCCTTTCAGGAGGTTCCAACCTTGGAAGGGTCGTAAACACAATAAGTTTCGTTGATCATTGTTATCTCTTCGGATCCGACTGATACGAACAATCTCCGATAGATAAGAGTTTCGGTCGGCGAAACATTTTACCTCAATGGTTGCTTCCCCACTTCTCTCCCACTCTAACTATATTCGGTATCGATTCGCAGGTCCACTGGTCGGAGTTCCTGCCGCGAAATGTCCATGGTCTATAGACGTGCGAGAATTCCAGGAACAAGAAAATTCGACCTCGGCCCCCTTTCACTTATATTTTCTTTAAGGCCTTTGTCTCAGTTCTACATACATCTTATACCCCGTCCTATCATCTAACAATAATAACAGTCACCTCCTTAGCTCACGGTGAGTCTCTTATTCACTCATTTTCAGCTCATTTACTGATCAAATAGTCTTCTCAGCCATGTGGATCACGCGCGGAATCTCACTCATCAATTTTGGAGTTGCATCTTCGGCGTTGGCATTTCAAGTCTTCGTTTTATACCCATGGCACCATCAGTTAGACGATGAGTTCAGAGCTTTGAAAAAGGAACACCAGCGAGTGCTGCACCAGCTCGATCAACGCAAGCCCTTGTGAGACTATAAAGGATGGATCGAAACCGATGACCTGGATGGGATGCATATAGATTCAGGCGGCAAAGACGATTCCTTCACTCTTTGTCTCCAGCTTTGGTTGCAGTCATGGAATGACTATGGAGTATTTGAGCGTTTCTTTTATAGACCAGTTCCCAGCGGCTTGTCTCTTTGCTTAAATACATAGACAAAACATTTGGAGTTCATATTACGAGGATAACTCGTTTCATCTATACTCAACCGGCAGGTCTCTTTGATAATGACTTACTCTTGTGCCCCTCCTGCATGTTGATACAAACTTTCGGGTGCGAGAAATTGCCGGCATACGAAAGATCCGATGCGACTCGGGAACTCCGGGCATACTACAACGTACAGACCTCGGGATGGTCAATGACGTTAGTGAGATACAGCCCCAGAGAAGTACCTCCTTGTAGTTTGTGACCGACTCCAAAGGACATTTAGTTATAACCTAGAGTCTTGACTATAAATTGCAAAGAAGCGTTGAGCTGATCACATTGTAGTGCAGGTTTGCATCACCTACCTTATCTAGGACGAGCACCTGTGAAGCATAATTAATTAGCTAGAACGTGTATTGACGAAGAGGGGAGAGAGAGCCTGATAGCACACGAGCAAGAGGTTGAAGTATACATTCAACTCCAATAATTCCCAAGACACGAAGTCTGACCTCTGCTATGGCTCGTCGCTTCATCATGAAGGCCAGTCACTTACAAATAGGAGCCATGTGTGAAGCCTGAAGACTTATGTCATAAAGCAGAGTCGCTGCACCTGCAGAAACTGACGAGCCATGGAGGGAATTGTTGCTTACGTTTACGATTCTGTATAGCGACAATCTTGAACATCCCATTAGCTTGTCTGCAAAGGTCTACAAAGGTCTACAGAAATTGACGGTGTGATGATTTGTTTGGTCTTACCAAAGGCTCGAACGGGTCATGACTTCCTACGGAAAAGATCTGATTCGTATCTGCTAGGGCTACTCACATTCTACGTAGTCAAATATCTCTGCCTAATATAAAAGGGTCTAGGTAGACTGTATCCATGTTGCAGAATAGGATAGGAATGGATAGTGTTTCCCGCATGCCGCTATTTATTGCACTAAATTATATACTATGCAGATCCTCTAATAATGGCAAGCATTTCCTCGCCCTTTGGTGCGGTGGTGAGATTCTCGTACCCAGTAGCAGTCACGAGAATATCATCTTCAATGCGCACTCCACCAATATGAACATATTTTTCTGCGACATCGAAATCAATGTAGCGGGCATATGGCTGCCGGCGCGCGTCCGCCATAGCCAGAGGAGAGAAATAGAGCCCTGGCTCGACGGTTAGAACCATTCCCTCTTCCAGCAGCGGAGCGGAGAGTGTGCATGGCGAAAGACAGGTGGAGTTCAAGATCGGGCGATACTGCAGCTCATCGAAATCCCCCTGAAGAGCCATGATTGACCGCTCCGATACATCGTGGACTTCAAGACCGACATGATGACCGAGACCGTGCGGGAAGAATACTTTAGATGCGCCAGATTGACGGATCTCGAGATTTGTCCCGTTCTTGAACACACCCAGAGCCAGGAGACCCTCGATCGCGATGTCATGGGCTAGATTGTGGAGAGATAGATACCGCACCCCTTTCCGGATACGCCGGATGCACTCCTCTTGCATGCGCTCTACTAGCTTATAGATATCCCGAACGTAGTCGCTAGGCCACTCGCCGGTAAGCGGGAAGGTCCGCGTCACATCACTTGCATAGCAGTTCCACTCTGCGCCGGCATCGAGACAGACGAGGGGTTTGTTGTTGAGAGTTTCGTTATTTCGGCCGTAGTGCAGGACAGCCGCGTTGGGCCCCGACGCTGCAATAATCTGGTATGCCTGGTTCCGGGCGCCGTGAGAGATACAGGTGTTCAAAAATGATCCTTCAATCTGCGACTCGTTGGACATAGTCCGGATACTCTCTAGGATTCTCCGATGGGCAAGCCCCGAGACTTTGTTGGCCTGACGGATCATCCGGATTTCATATTCGTCCTTGACGCCTCGGGCTGTGTCCATAGCAGGTCTGAGCTGATCCAGATCCAACGGCAGATTTTTTGGTAGATGCTCGGGCTTCTCTGAGTCATGGATTAGGTACAGCTCGCTGCCTTGCTTTCGCTCGTCCAGCCACTCCTGCAGCTCATATTTGAGCGAGGCGTGATACCGCACATGGTCCACGTCGTATCGGTCTTGCGCGTCCTCCCGTGAGAGGGTCGGTCCCATCCAAATAGCACGGTGTAGGTCGAAATCCGGGACATAGAGGGTTAACAGGTCTTGTTCAATATCGTACGTCAGAGAGCAGTCGGGCTCGTCGACTCCGCTCAGGTAGTAGAAGTATCGTCGTTGTCGGAATGGGCGCGACTGATCGGAATCGCGCAGATTAATTGTTGGCTGTCCGGATAGGAAAATCAAGCCACTTGAAGCTCCAAGCTTCCGGGCAACATTGCGCGCATGGTGTTTGGCTGGTAAGAGCGGTCTGGTCAGCTCGAGTCTCAGATGATCACCGGTCGGGGTTCAGTGGAGTAGCAAACAGGTATATGAGAGGGCAAAAGAGAGCAAAGGAGGTCAAAGGAAGGCAAGAAGGCATTCCGACCTTGCGATGTTCTGTAGGGAGAAGTGTACTGACCTGGGTATTTATCGCAGGAGGTAGGTGTCACCACACGGATATTATAGGAGTCGAGGGGATCGATCATGACGTCGACGCCTTGAGCCGCAGACCCCTGGGCACCTCTAATTACACGCATTCTTAAAAGAAACTGAAAGTCAAACGAAGAGAGGGGAGAGGGATCTCAAGTAAGGAGCCAGGAGAGAGGGGAAGAGAAGAGAAGGGCTTTATCCTGAGCAGGGATAGATAGGCCGTATCAGCCTCAAGGTGTGCCCAGGTGTGACACTGCTATATTTACAGCTATTTCTGCTTGAGATGAAAAAGTCAAATTTGGTTAAAGACATTAGATTCCTTTAATATTCCAGGATCCAGGATCTTCAAATCCAGGAACCAACTCTACATTGCCTTGCATTGTTAGTACAGGGCTCTAGGTGCTCTGGCCTCTGGGCCGAAAACGTCTTAGATAACCCGCCCATTTCACCTATCCGCGCCCACTTAACTCTCTCTCTCACCTCCTCTTTACCACATCTCAATATTCCCCCAACTTTTCTTGGCTTTTCTCGTTTTTCGTACTCTCACTTGACACATGAACGATGCAGGGTCCTGAGGCTCCGAGCCCCGGTGCGCTCGCAGGCCTGCCATCAACCCTGAGCACGGTGATAGGCAATCCCACGACGTCACCGATTGGCTTTGTCTCCTCAACTTTACCATTACCAACATCGATACCAAGCGATACATCACTTTCGCAGCAACAAATCCAAGCGAATCTACAAAATGTTCTTTCCTCTTTGTCGATGGAGTTCCGTCCCGAGCCTATGCTGGCCAGTGGCAACTCGAGCGGGTCAACCGGCAAAGGCATCTTGATTGGGATCTTGTCCGCGTTTGGCTCGGCTGCCGTCGCATTTGTTGTTTTAGCGATCTTTTTCTTTTTCAAATATACCCGCCGGGGGCGGATTATGCTTGATCGTATTGGCAGGCCCGGTGAATACGATGACGAGCAAGCGTTCTTGCGCGAGGAAGAGGCGGCCCTGGAGTCAATGGATGACTTGGCGCGATCGGAATATTTGCGAGCAAAAGGTAAGACTGGAGATTAATCTGCATGCCAGTTGCTTTGATCATTTTACTAATGGCCTGCAGCTTTTGTCCAAGCAAACCCTCCCGAGTCCGTGCAAACTGACATTTCCCTATCACAATTCCTCGCGATCCAAGAAAAAGGTGTATCTGCCTGGGAATTCCAGCCCGAGCTGGAAATTGCAAACTGCTTTGTGGAAGGACGAACAGAGATTGAGTTCTTTGACTCGGAGTGTAGTGTCCAGACGAACTTGCCAATCCCTAAGCAGAATGATGTCTACTACTGGGAGGCGAAGATATACGATAAGCCTGATTCGACCATGATCGGAATCGGTGTGACTACGAAACCGTACCCCCTGTTTCGAATGCCTGGTATGTCTTGCGACTCAGGTGTTTCTGCCAAGGAATTCCCGCTAACAACCGCTAGGCTTCCATAAAACCTCTGTTGCCTACCAATCTACGGGGCATCGCAGACTCAACCAACCATTCAGTCCCACCCCATACGGGCCTCCTCTACTTCAGGGTGATGTTGTTGGTGTAGGCTATCGACCTCGATCTGGCACCGTCTTCTTCACACGCAACGGCAAGAAATTGGAGGACGTGGCTCATAACTATCGCTCCCAAAACCTCTTCCCTACCATCGGTGCTAACGGTCCTTGCACTATCCACGTGAACTTTGGCCAAATGGGATTCGTGTTCATCGAGGGCAATGTCAAAAAATGGGGCTTGGCCCCCATGACTGGCAGCCTCGCCCCGCCCCCACCCTATGGCAGTGAACAAGGCAGCATTCTACTTGAGTCAGGTCGCGAGAGTGCGGCTCAAATCTCCCAGCGCGTTTACCAAAATGCGAACTACGCGGCCTCAGGCTCAAGTGTTAGGATCCCTCCGCCGCCCAGCCCAGGTCCTTCTCGATCACCAACTGACATTTCCCTTGCTCAGCTGACCCACATTCCTTCCCATGAAGATGCTGGCGAGGGGTCCAGCCGTTTTGCTTTGGCCGATGCAGAGGCTAACGTTGCGGCTGCTCCTGATAATCAAGAGCCAGAGGCCCCGCCCCCAGAGTATTCTAGTCCCAACGGCAGTCGCAGGGGCAGTGATGCCTCTCTTGAAAGTCCACCTAGTTTTAGGGATTCTGAGAACCCCAACTCTCCGTCAAATGACTCAATGGATTCTGGTGGTCAATTTCTACCAAGTTACCAAACTGTGGTGGAGAGAGACTTGAACGAACACGACTCAGAGGCCAACGATCGGTCCTGATGCAACATCTATTCCCCCTTTGCTTTTGA